GCTCCCAGGCTCCCCGGCCCCCAGGCTCCCAAGCTCCCAGGCTCCCAGGTCCCCAGGCTCCCAGGCCCCCAGGCTCCCAGGTCCCCAGGCTCCCAAGCTCCCAGGCCCCCAGGCTCCCAAGATCCGAGGCCCCCAGGTACCCAGGCCCCCAGGTCCCCAAGCTACCAGGCTCCCAGGACCCTGGGCTCCCAGGCTCCCGGGCTTCCAGGCCCCCAGGCTCCCAGGCCCCCAGGCTCCCAGGCTCCCAGCCCCCCAGGCTCCCAAGCTCCCAGGCTCCCAGGTCCCCAGGCTCCCAGGCCCCCAGGCCCCCAGGCTCCCAGGCTCCCAGGCCCCCAGGCTCCCAAGCTCCCAGGCCCCCAGGCTCCCAGGACCCCAGGCTCCCAAGCTCCCAGGCTCCCCGGCCCCCAGGCTCCCAAGCTCCCAGGCTCCCAGGTCCCCAGGCTCCCAGGCCAGGCCCCAGGCTCCCAGGTCCCCAGGCTCCCAAGCTCCCAGGCCCCCAGGCTCCCAAGATCCGAGGCCCCCAGGTACCCAGGCCCCCAGGTCCCCAAGCTACCAGGCTCCCAGGACCCTGGGCTCCCAGGCTCCCGGGCTTCCAGGCCCCCAGGCTCCCAGGCCCCCAGGCTCCCAGGCTCCCAGCCCCCCAGGCTCCCAAGCTCCCAGGCTCCCAGGTCCCCAGGCTCCCAGGCCCCCAGGCCCCCAGGCTCCCAGGCTCCCAGGCCCCCAGGCTCCCAAGCTCCCAGGCCCCCAGGCTCCCAGGACCCCAGGCTCCCAGGTCCCCAGGCTCCCCGGCCTCCAGGCTCCCAAGCTTTCAGGCTCCCAGGCCCCCAGGCTCCCAGGCCCCCAGGTCCCCAAGCTCCCAGGCCCCCAGGCTCCCAGGCTCCCAGGCCCCCAGGCTCGGCTTCCAGGCCCCCGGCTCCCAGGCCCCCAGGCTCCCAAGCTCTCAAGCTCCCAGGCCCCCAGGCTCCCAAGCTCCCAGGCTCCCAGGCCCCCAGGCTCCCAAGCTCCCAGGCCCCCAGGCTCCCAAGCTTCCAGGTCCCCAGGCTCCCAGGCCCCCAGGCTCCCAGGCTCCCAGGCTCCCAGGCCCCCAGGCTCCCAAGCTCCCAGGCTCCCCGGCCCCCAGGCTCCCAAGCTCCCAGGCTCCCAGGTCCCCAGGCTCCCAGGCCCCCAGGCTCCCAGGTCCCCAGGCTCCCAAGCTCCCA